TCAAATACAGAAATTTCAAATCAAATCAAATTCAAATTGACAAAATATTTGATTCGATTTGACTTTGAGAAACCCTAAATAAAACAAAATAAAAAAAAAGTTAAAAATATACTGTGTGTATATTGATATGAAAAATAGATAACAAAAAAAAATATTATCAAAGAAGCACCACATTATTACATGATGTAATAATTTTAATAAAGCTTATATTTTTTTTTATTTTACAAAAATTTATTTGTAAACAAATTATATAATATTTATACATTTTTAAAAGATGAAATCAAAATTAAATGTATTATGCAGATATTCTTTAACCATAGTGTTATTTGAACACAAAAATATAGTTACATCATCTAAAAATTTTATCTGAATATCTTTATCTATCAGAGTTTTAAATTTATCTAATAATGCATTAGCTATTCTGTTTATGTTATTGGGAGTGATGCTAAATAGATCAAGTAATGTGGCTTTGTATACTTTTATGATATAATTTATGCTGTTGATTCCATTGATTATTCCTTATATTGATATAGTGAATTGAACCAATCAAATTTCTCTGGTCTGGACATAAAGTTTGGTCTAGATTTGGGTGTTAGAAATTCATTATTCTTTTTTAATCTTGTGAATTCAACTTGTTGTTTAAGTTTTTTAGTTTTAACTACTGTATAAAGATATTTGTTAATACCATCTGCTAATTTTTTTGCTTTATTTATTTTTCGTACAATATATTTTTTTGATAACAAGAATTGATCATTTTTATCTAGCACCCAAATATAATAAAGTATATCTAATAAGGTTTTTCTATCTTTGGCATTATTATGTGCTTTTTGAATTTTGTTGCAAACCTCATTGGTTTGCACTCGACCAAATTTTTTTAGATCATCTGCATTCAGTGTTTTTTTGTATTCATTAATGATAAAGTTAATTTGTACTATAGCTGTTTCTCTATCATTTCTTATCGGAGCTGCATTATCTGTATTTCTGTTGGGGTATTCTGTGGTTGGTTGATCATTTTCTGGGGCTAGTCTTTTGGGACTAGATTCTGTAGATCATTTATTCTTTGTTCTCTTTAACGAGATATTTGTCATCAAGTTTATCGATCTCATCTTTCTAATATTCTTGTAATCTATTTATATCTTGTTCCAATTTGATTGATGCTTCTATATTATCATAGTAGCTGTTATAGAATCTAGCTTTTTTATAATTATCCAGATATTCTATATTTCTATCTTCAGTTAATAATGTTTGGTTTAATTCGAATATATCTTTTGCTAATTCTGATTGGTCAGAAAGTTCATCTAGATTTTCTAGTTTTCCATAATTTTTTTAGTAATATCATATAATTTATCTTCTGTTTCGCTTGATAATGTATTGAGTTTATATCTATATAATTTATATAAATCTTCAAGTTTTCTTTCATTTGTTAAGTATTCTTTACATATTTCTTGGATACTTTGATCATAGTGATTATCATCTTCTAATTGATATGCATAATGTTCAGTTCTAATACTATTTTTTAAATCATCAAATATTTTATTTGTTACTATGATTAATTAATCTTTATATGCTTGTTGTAGTGTATTTTTTTGTTCTTTTGTCAATCCAGAAATCTTGACTAATGAATCATGTAATTTATCATCAAGCAAGTTTCTAATAAAGAATTCATCTTTAATATTTTTTAATAATTCATTAAATTTTTTAGTTTCTTTCAATTCTTGATTTTGTTTTCACATAATCTATGAAGTTCTTTCTTTTGGTCTTCTGTGATGTATTCTGTTTTGAAATCTATTTCATTTTTGATATCAGTATTTAATTTTAAAACATTATTTTCATTTTTAATTTTTTCAGCAATTTTGTCAAATTCTTTTTTAGCATTTATTAGTTTAATCTTTTCGTTAATCGATTTTAATGAGTTTGATATTTGTAATGCGGTCAAGATTCGATCTTTTGTAATTTGAAAATATAATTTGTTCAATTTCTTTCAGTATTTAACATATTAATTTGATTTTTAATATGATTATAATGTTCTTTTCATAATTCTTCAAATTTATCATTACATAATTGATGAAGTCGTGTTTTATCTTGTTTTTTTAATTCTGAATTTTCTATTTTATCAAAAATTGATTTATTATCAAGCAATTTTACAGCTTCAGTTCTAGTGGTCAATTTAATTTTTTTTTCTATGATATTAAAAATTAAATCATAATCTGGTTCAGATTCTGGTTCATCCATTAGTTCATCAGGGTTTTTAGTTTTTAGTTCATCTATAGGTTCATCTGGTTTATTAGTTTCTGGTTCATTCATTGGTTCATCTGGTTTATTAGTTTCAGATTCATCCATAAGTTCTTCTGGATCATTATTTTCTGGTTCAACAGATTTATTATCTGGTTTGGGTTCTGGTGGTTTTTTTTGTATATTTTGAATAAGATTGATTATATTGATTAGTTGTTGTAATCCATCATTGTTATTCCTTGATTTTATTTTTGTATTTTGTATATTAGTTTGTGGATCAGTATTACAATTAAAAAATTTATCATTGTAATTTGTTTTAACTCAACACTGTAGATTTTGATTCATGATATATATAATATTTTATTAAAAAAATAAAAAATACAAATGATATTTATATAAATTTAAACTAAATCTAAGTATCTTGATCTATTGGTTGTTTTGGAGCTTGGGTGCATTAAGAGCCGCAATTACTCTTGCCAAATCTTGTTGCCCAATTGGTTTAATAATAAGTTTATATGCTAGTTAAATTTTTAAATCTTGAACCATTACTGAATATCTAACATTTCTATTTATTAATTCTTTTCATTCACCAAAATTAAAATAATTTGCATCTTCAGGATGCTTTATTTATTGCCCAATCAGCATAACTTGCTGTAATAATTAATACAAATTTTCTAATATTGAAAAAATTATGTTCACCATTAACATTTTTGTTTAACAAGCAAACATCTATCTTGTTTTTAAATTTAAAACATAAAGTGATGTTATGAGTTGTGAATGAACAGTCACCACTACATGGGATGTATGCATATGTTTTACCAATAATTTTAAAACATTTTTTGTAGTAAAATCTTTGAGATCTTCTTTAGGTTTGTTGATGAAATCGTCTGGAGTATAATTGCATTGTTTTGCTATATCTTGATCACAAATAGCACCTAATAAAATTGATAGATACATATTTTCCATTAAAGGATAATATGTGTTTCTAGCATTTGCACCATTTTCTCCTACAGCATTAAATGTTGTAAAATTATTTTAATAAAGTTCAACATTTTTATTAGAACTATGAAATATTATAAATATTGTATTAATGGTTATGTTATATAAAAAAATTTGATCTATTGTGATTCCTTGATTTAATAAAAAGATATTAATTCTATTGGTTAATGGTAATAGATAATATCGATCATTGGCAGTTTGCCTTCCTGTAACATTCCATGTTTTATATTGCATGAATTCGTCATGTTTAAAATTGCATTTTTAATTCTTCTGTTTCACAAACATTTCTACATTCTCCCAAGTTACAGAAATAATTTGCATTTCTTACTACTCTATTACAACATAACAATAAACAATCAGGTGAACATTTTGACAATATCTCATTTAGATTCTTCTAAATTGTCTAATAAAATCAGGTACACTACAACTATTTGTACTTTTTTTAACCACTGGTTTGCATTCTTTACACTTTTTAGAAATTGAGACTAATGTTCCTTTAATTGGATTTGTTTTTGTTTTTTTTGTAGATTTTGTTTTTTTTGTTTTTGATTTTTCTTTTACACAGGATGATGTGGATTTCTTTTTATATTCTGAAGGGCACTTTGATTTTCTTGGCGCCAGTTTGAATTATAATGTATCAAGATATGTAATTATTTCTGTAAATATTATGCATAAATTATACAAAAAATATCTAAAAAATAGGGCGATTAAATCGTTTACTGTGGAAAAATCTGGTTTGTATATATAGTAAATTGAGCAAGCAACCAAAATAAAAAAAATTAATGCACAGATATCAATTAATATATATGAAAAAAAATAAATTTTTGATGCTATTCCATTTTAAAAAAAAAAATTTTTATTAAATATTGGAGATATTTATATATTTATTGGATAATGAGACATGTTAAGTTATAATTAAAAAACCAACTATGAAATTTTAATAATAAAATAAAGAAAATATTTGAAAAGAAAATAAGTGAAATAATTAATAAAATATCTATTTTAGTTAAATTTCTCTCAGATTTTAGTCAAACTATATTACTAGTATCAGGGCTTTTTTTTAATTCTTCAATAACATTTGTTTTCAAGTTATTTATTTTTTCAATAAGAGCATTTTTAATATTTTCTCTGATATTTTTTTTATCTAAAACTTCGATTAAAGAAGTTTTAATTGTTTTTTTTAAATTATCAGCTAAATCTTGCAAATCTTCATAATTTTTTTTCCACTGATCTCTTTTAGCTCTTGTAGTATCAAGCAAGGTTTTAATTCTAGTATATTTGGTTTGACGATGAGCAGACATTTTTTTATTTTATATTTTATTATTTTTTTTTTATTTTTTTTTTAATTGTGATGATATTTATATTGTTTTTATTTAATATCTTCAAGATTTGGATTGGGATTAATTTTTGTTTTAATATCAGTTTCAACAGTATCAATTGCCGCAATAATATCTTGCTTAACATCATCGCCTATATCATAATTTTCAAGAGCTTCTGTGATTGTTGTTTTTACCAAATTTTTTACATCCTTTAATCCAGTCAATAAGGTTTTATAATTTTTTTTCCATTGATCTCTTTCGGCTCTTGCTGTGGTAATTAAACCTTGAACTCTGTTTAATTCTGATTCTCTATCTGCACTCATTTTTTTTATTTTTTTTTATTTTATTTTTATTTTTTTTATCTCTCTATTTATATTTATAGTTATTTAATATCAAAAGTATCTAATAGTTCTTTTAGTTCGTTTAATATATTTTTATTGTATTTCTCTAATTGAGCGATAAGTTCTTCCATTAATTTCTGTTGTTTTGTAAATTTTTTTAGCAATTTTTTATTATCAATATTATTTCTTTCTGTAGCCATTCTGGTGTTATACATGTCCCAAGTATTTCTATATCTTTTATTTGCTTCTTTTTGTTTGTTCTGTGATTTTTCATATAGTTTGGCAATTGTATTCTTTTGTTGTTTGGTGGTTTTATCTTTTTTTTTTTTGATAGATCTGTAAAATCCTTGATATTAATTTTTTTTTCTAATTTGATTTTCTCTGAGTTTTTTATTCAATCTTTTTCATTCTGTAAAAAATGGTTTAAATTTTTCTTTTGTTACTTTATTTTTTTGATTATTATGCCAATTTCTCTATTTTATACATAGTGCAAGTTTTTCATCGTATAATTGAAGATGTAATTCACAAGTTGTTTTCAATAATGTGTATGATATTTTTTTTTAGGTTAAAAAAAAATAAGCAGTCTTTATTTATATTTATTTAAAAAAATTAAAAATGATAATCATAGCTAGGTTCAAAAACAATTCTAGCTAATTCTATAACATTATCTTAAATAAATTATTTTTTTTCATGTTCTAATTCATTAAAATTAGCGTAAAATATAATAGACAAATGTTAGCATATTCTTCATCAATTTTTAATCTAATGATAGCATGATCTAAAGTATTTTTATCAATTTCATCTTTTTTAATCAATTCTTCATAAGTTTCGATCCAACTGTTAATGATAAATTCATGATCTTCATCATTTTTATAATAGATATTTTTTGAAATTTCATATTTATGCTCATTAGAATTTGATACGATTAATTCTTTAATTTTTGCAACAATTTTGATATTGTCATCGACTGGAATTGTAACTGTTTGAAAACCCATTTTTTTTTGCTTTATTTTTTTTTAAAATACTAACTATTTATATAATTTTTTAGATTTTCAGAACTTGATTTCCAGCTTTGTGCAGCTAGTTTAAATTGATTTTTGCTATCAACTTCATCATCTTTTAATTTTTGCATCTTTTTTTTTTATAAACAAATTATACTGTAATGTTTTTTTAACAATTTTTTGTGTTTTTTATTCAAATTCTGAACTAGAAGTTTCTGAACTACTTGGTTCAGTTTCATCTTCACTCCACTCATCAAACATGTAACTTGAAGCTTTATCAATATTTAAAAAATATTTTGTAAAAAAATATGAATCTTCTTTATGAATTTTATTCATCATTTCTTTTTTCGATGGATTAATAAATTTGTAACCGCAGTTATTGTAACCGTAATTAAGTAATTAATTGTGTGTAACATATTAGTAGTCAATTACATAGCTTGTATTACATTTATGCATAACATATAAATTAAACCGGTTTTTATTTCTTATATTGTCAAAACTGGTTCCAAATAAAGCAGGATTACAACACTAGTACTAGGGATGTTAAATAGCTTAGTTTAGTCAGTTTTCGAGTCAATTAAAGTCGAGTCATTTAAAGCTAACTCTAAGTCAACTTCAGTAATATTTATCAAATCAAGAACAATATGCATATTGATATCAATATATGCAGCAATTAAGTTTATTATTATCTATCGATTTGTACAACTTCACATGATTAAAAACTCAAGTTTGATTTGACTTCTGGAGTCGAGTCAGTTCGGACAGTTCGGATAAGCACTTTAACATCCCTAACTAGTACAAACGTATATACTTCAAAGCAAAAACTAAACTTCTTTTTTTAGCAAAATTGCATGTTTATTATTCAAAGCCAAGATAGTATGCATATATGGGGTAAGCACAGTTCTTTTATT